CCTCAATTGAATATAATTATATCACTGAATCTGTACTTGGGTTCATACAATAAGACCTAACATACAAATCTAGGATTCTTCATACCCAGGTGAATAAGAAAGTTACTCCATAGAGAGAGATGGGAAATCTAGCTCAGACGCGGAAACCATACTGTGAAGGATGAGATTCTGCTTCTGGCACTCAATCAGCTCTTATTGAAGCTCAAGCCTGGCTCCAATGGTGATGAAGATCGATCTAAGGCACTTGGAGAATCAGGTTCGTCACTTTCTCTCTCTAGGTATCGCTTTTTCTCTCTAAAACTCGGCTCCCCCTCCTTTGGCTCGAAATTGGGTTAAAACCCCAGAGTTTCCCGACCACACGGCCGTGTGGATTCCTAGTTTGCCCGTGTGAGAATGGAAACGCCGCGTTTTGATTAGTGGACTTCAGGCACGCTGCACGGCCAGAAGCACACGGCCGTGTGGATTTCCAGTCTGGCCGTGTGAGCTCCCTGGACTTTCCACACGGCCACAAGGGGTCCCCTACACGGCCAGTGTGGCTTGCCCGTGCAAAGTGGTGCCACACGGCCAAGTCACACGGCCATGTGGAATTTTAGGCGTGCCCGTGTGAGTTCCTCAGCTTCTCGCCAAACGTCCAATCTTCGTCCAATCGACCCCGAACTCGTTCACAAACCTTCATTCACGTACTAGGACCTGAAATATCACAAACAAGAACAACCTAGTGTGAAATCGGCTTAAAACACTCAATCAACATCTCAAAACGGCTCAAGAATAGGGGTAAAAACATGTGCAATTAACTGTCTATCATGGTACCATGTGGTAACGGGGTGGTAACGAGTAGTATGGGTCATATGAAATTTTTTTCTCAAAATATATTGAAAATGTATCTAATTTTATAGATCACAATGAACCCATTTCAACTGTGCAATTTTTGTTGAAATTCAAGTTAGAACGATGAAGGTAGAAGCTTCAAGCCGATTAATAAACTAGAGAAAATAAAAATATATTTTATTCTCCACCTTTAGATCTGACCATACTTAAAATCAAGAGTCATATCTAGTTATGGAAGTGTGCATAACAACCCTACCAAGGGTTATACACCCTATCATAGGTCAGTGTTGATGCTTTATGTGTTTGGACTTTCTCGTGCTCAATTTGCCGATGTTGGGTCGTCTAAATCTCGGTTCAACCATGATTGAACATTTTTTAATGGAAATTTTAACAGAAAGGCATGTTTTATAATTTTTCCAAAGTACAAAGGCATGTCCCCCCCCCCCCCCCCCCCCCGCCGCAAAGTCAGTGTTTAAAAGAAAGTCATAAGGAGGAAGAAAGAAAAGCACGAGAGTCGACCAATAGTCGAACTCCCGATGAGAGGGCTTTTGTGCCACATGATGGGCAGCCCTATTGAGTTGACGGGACACAAAACAGTAAGAAATACTGCTCAACGATGAAGCCAAGCTCTTAGCATCCGCCAAAATAGCACCTCCCCGATCATGATGAAGATCACCTCCAACCATCCGCCGGATTAATAGTTGAGAGTCCCCATGAAAAGAAACAACAAGAAAGGAATGGGTTAGACACCACTGCAAGGCATCACGCAAGGCTAAACATTCCATAATAAATGGATCTTGAATTCCATCATAATATTTGCCAAATGCAAAGTGAACAATACATGTCCCTTGGAAACCTACGAAATCGATACTACCTACTTCCCCTTGGCCACGCTTGACCGCCCCATCAAAACATACATTAATAATGGGAGAAAGGCCAGAGGCCGGTGAGGATCCAACACGAGCTGCTGCAGCTGGGAGATGAGTAGTGCTACGATGAGACTGAGACAGAGGTGCTACGAAGATACTGAATGTGATCATGAACCGACCAACAACGACCCTTCCAAATTCTCTAAAGAATGAAAATAATGTTAGCAAGTTCAAGTTTGGAAAAGTTCATGGAGAAGAAAAGATGCGGCCAGGCCTCATCAGGAGCCATTCCACCAAGAATGGTACTCATGCCTCCAAGGTTAGCCATTCTCCAAAGGTCTCGAGCTATCCTGCAAGTAAAGAAAAAGTGGGAAAAGGATTCTGGTTCCCTAGAACAAATAGGGCAAATAGTGTTAGTAACAAGCGTTTTAGTGAACAACACTATCTGTAGAGCCAAGAAACCACGAACAGCCCGCTAAAGAAAGAACTTCAATTTTGGTGGCATAGGAATACTCCAAAGCAGCTTGATGTAAAAAATAGTAGTGAGACATGTTTGATAAAACGAAATAATAGTGAGACATATTATACTTATAAAACTATTCAATATCACTAACCAAAATTTTTTTTTTAAAAAAATAATTTTATCACATATATTTATTTCTAAATGGACTGACCTTATGCAAAATCCCGGCTACGTCCCTGATGGTAGATACATTTTGTTTAAACGATAATAACCAATCTAGGAAGTTCATGTTGCTCGTTGGGATTTGTAGGGATGGGAAACCTTGTTGCCAAGTTGTGGTTGTTGCTACATGGTGACACTCTGATAATACATGGAGAATATCTTCATTCTTCCCGTTATATACCAAACAAGATGGGACTTATGACACTCTATTTATAGTATTTATCACTCCCATATTTGATACATTTATCCTTTTATCAATGCATCTTTAGGACTTTCTGTTGTATTTCATATATAAATCAGAACTATTTGATCAACGAGTCTTTAATAGACATAAGATGTGTTTTTGTAGTCTTTGATGCCTTCTTGGACTATTTTTATGGCTTTCTAGGTAGAACATGACTTGGGAAGATTTGGAGCAAGCGTTCGACATATCTAGAGGACAAAAAGAGCTATGAAGAGAAGAATATAGAGCTTTCATGATAAAGACGAGGTTCAATGATGGAGAAGTCTACTAGTAACCACGAGTAGAGCCCAAGAGAGTCCCATTGGAGGAAGACCGGCCCAAGCAGAAGCAAGAACCAACGACAACCCAACAACTGGTCTAACCGCCACCCATGGTAACCTGGACAAATCATGATCAAATCTTCAAGAGAGGTTGTCCATGGGCCAAAGAGTCCATCCCACGAAGAAAAATAGTTGTGGTTGCTACCCTTGGCGCCAAGAGCCCAAGCCCAAAATGGAGGCCTAGAAGGCCTTACTTCGGCCCTAAATTAGAGATTCCGAGTCCTAGAGGTGTTAGGAAGCTTGTGGTTGAGTTGAGGAGGAAAAACCCCAGTTTACCCCCTGTCTCGCTCTTATTCTATGAATAGATACTTAGACTTTAGTTAGAAACCAACTTTTACACTCTAAAACAGCTGATGTTATGTCGGATTGAGGAGAGAATGACTCCACCATTTGTGCATTCATCCCTATCTTGCATGGCTAGCTAACTCTCTTGTTGTTTTGGATGTTGATTCCATGATGTGTGATGTATTGCTTCTATGAATTAATGAGATGCCCAAGAGCATCGATGGTCTAGTTCTTTATATGCTTGATATAATTATGTGATGCATTACAATGTGTATTGTTTATACTACTATTATTAGTGATAGGAAACTACTCTTATGTAGTATGAATAACCATTAGGCGTGCATAGGGGGAAGTACAACTCTACAACCCTATAGGGGCGCTTTTTTGGGCGTTGATTCCCCTTTGTAGAGTGGTCTCGTTCTAAGTCAGGAAGGTTGCTCTGTTGGCAGAGTAACAACCCTTCCTTGACCTGTTGTCTTTTCCTCTCGAACTCTACCTCTAGAGCTCTATTTATAGATCTTCTATTAGGTTTTCTGGTGAAGAAAACTCACATCTCCTGCGTCATTAAGCCAATCAGAGCGCTCCAATCATGTGGCTAGTGAACCAGGATGCTCCAGGATAACTTCTTGACGAAGTGGACGAGCTCCCTAAAAAGGCTGAGTGAACTCTCCTGGGCACCCCTTGTGCATTTCACCCTGGCATCCGGTCTTCAAATTTTAGCTTCAACAACTTGGTCTCGATGTCCCCTACGACTTCCAAATGGTCCACTAGACTGCTTTGCCTTGGAAATGCACAGAGCGTTACCAAAAGTGTATCAATCACATAAAAGCAATCATAGGGTTGCTATAATACACTTGAAGCAATCATAGCAATTATTCAAGGTGTTATGACATTATTAATGGGAAATGTATGCAGTGAGAAAATTCAAGTAAGGACTAATCATATGAATTAGAGTTGTTGATCTCTTTTCTGTTCCTTACTAGGAATGGCAATGGGGCAGGTCTGGGGCGGGTATCTCGATACCCATACCCGCCCCATGGCAGGTCGGGTCCAGGTCGGGTAATTTATCACGGGGCGCGGGTTGGGGCAGGTCGACCCATTGGGTATGTAATTTATGTGAAAAACATTAGAAATATTCGTTCTTTTCATTGAAAGACCAAGAAAGAAATCATAACATGATAAAATGTAGTTAAATTATTGAAGAAATTGAGGTTTTCACTTATTTACAACTTTATTATAGCTAAAATATAATGTAATAAGAGGAAAATCTTAAGTAATTTGACTAAGATTATATGTAATTTAGGCAAGAACGGGTCGAGAATGGGGCGGGTCAGGGCAGGTCAGGTCGATGAGAGGTACCCATGCCCGCCCCGCCCCGCCTACGCAAAACAGGTCAAACAGGTCGGGTAAATCGGGTCAGGTCGAAATTGCCATCCCTATCCTTACTACTTGCTTTTGCTTATGCTAGAGATGGCGTTTCTGTTTTTATTTCTTCTTTTACTAGAGAAGTTTGTGAGAGTAGGTAAACAGAGTTCTAACATGAACACAAGAAGGAAAGTCAAAATGGGGGTGTATTGGTCTTTTCTCTCTTTTAGTTGTAGAATAACTCATGTAAAATACTTCACCATTCAAACATGACATTTAAAATCAATTACCACATTAATATCACACAAATATCACATTCTAGAAAAATGAATTATTTCTACTTACAAATATCACACAACCAAAAACCTCACCTAAATGTAATAGAAGAATAAAGAAAGAGAGCGCCAGAGCGGTGTGAACAACATCAGTGCTTTTCGTTTTTTTTTCTCCCTTTGCAGAAAGCCGTGCTTTTAGTTACTTATACCATTACCAACACTACCACTAGCAGCGGCGACGACAACCTTTCTACTCGACTCATTCTCCCATATTTTACCCCTTTTTACTGTGTCTACCGTTAATACAACGTGCTTTCCTAACCACTCCCACTTCCCGCTGCTGCTGCGTCGCCGTCGTCGAGGATGGGAAACTGTGGCACTAGAGAGGAATCTGCTGTTGTTTCCAATGCTCAAGGTAACTAACTAACTTCCCCTCTCCCCTCCTACTTTCAGATCTGCTAGCTCTATAGTAGAGCAGAGTCGCAGCTCATTCATGCTCAGCTTTCTTTCTGTTTTTGGTTTTCCGGATGCTTGCGGGTTTTGGGTACTGATTTTTTTCGAAAGGAGGGGTGGGTACTGAATTTGACTAATGAAATTGTTGTATTGTTAATTGGGCAGTTCAGCAGCAGCCTCAAGTGCTGTTGGCAGCCGCCATTAAAAGCGTGGACAGAAAACCTTATCATCTCCACAATCGGTCTATCTCAGATCTGAGCGATCCTTCTTCTACACCCCGCAACTTCGATGACTCCGCCACTGCCAGCAACAACTCCCTCCTTTACACCCACGTCATCTCCTTCACTCTCTTCGAGCTTGAGACCATTACCAAGAGTTTCCGCTCCGACTACATCCTCGGCGAAGGTGGATTTGGCACCGTCTACAAAGGCTACATTGACGAGAATGTTCGTGTTGGCCTCAAATCTCTACCCGTTGCTGTCAAGGTTCTCAACAAGGAGGGTCTGCAGGGGCATCGTGAGTGGCTCGTAAGTCTCCTTCTCATCCCCTCTCACTTCCAGCGAATTTTTGTAACCCCAACTAACTATGCAAGTTCGATTTATTTTGCCTTGTCTTGCAGACGGAGGTCAATTTTCTTGGTAAACTTCGGCACCCTAATCTCGTTAAGCTGATTGGATACTGTTGCGAGGATGATCACCGCTTGCTTGTTTATGAGTTCATGTTCCGTGGAAGCCTTGAGAATCACCTCTTTAGAAGTATGCCCTCTTCTTCTCCTTAATTTCACTTTGAATTCAGTTCAATCTTCCTCATGTCTCTCGTTCTCAATCTATCTCGATCCTAGCTAGTGAGGGGCGGTTAGTTCACTGATTGATTCCATTGTTACATTCCTCATAAGTTGTTTGTTGGGCTAGTATCACGGAGTGTACTTTACCTCCGGAAACTTACACTTTCACCCCACTCATCACTTCCCTAACTCGCTTAATATTGTGGGAAATTCTGAATGGAACTTTTCTGGTGACACTTAAAATACTTTGTTAGCGTTTTGAGTTCAATTGGCATTGTCTAAATGTGTACATTAGCAGCATTTGATATTTCACCATGTTGGCTTTCGGCTAACTTGATTTTCTCTGAACCTTCTCGAGGCATTCAGAGGCAGCAGTTCCGTTATCTTGGGCGACCAGAATGATGATTGCTCTAGGAGCCGCCAAAGGCCTTGCTTTCTTGCATAATTCCGAGAGGCCAGTTATATACAGAGACTTCAAAACCTCTAATATACTATTGGACTCGGTGAGTTGTGGCTTCTTGACATCTTGTTACAGAAATGACGGTCCTTGTTTATTGACATCAGTTGCCTCTTGGTGCACAGGATTATACAGCCAAACTTTCTGATTTTGGGCTTGCAAAAGCTGGACCACAAGGTGATGAAACCCATGTATCCACTCGAGTCATGGGCACTTATGGCTATGCTGCCCCCGAGTATGTAATGACAGGTATGCTCATTTACTAAGACTCTAAGAGGTTGAAAGATTCGGGGAGTCCCCTTTACTTAGATCATAATGGTGGTTGGTACTGTGAGTTTATGGGGAGGTAACAAGCTGTTGATTTGATCTGGAGTCTAACAATAGCGTGGGTGGGCATACCTTGCTCCCAAATGTGAGCTGCTTATATATCATTTACGCTTGTGTTTCTGAATTTGCTGGTCTGAACTGTTTAAGATGTTGGTGTTAAGTTAAACAAGGAACAGAGGGGGCATGAAAAACTATGCTGGGCACAATATGGCTGAACAAGTCATCGTACATGCAATAAATGTTTGTGATAAGGAATTGCATGAATTGGGCAGAAGCTCTTTTGAGAAATTCTTAGTGTCATGCTTTAGTTTTATCTTTGTCTGAGTTCTGGAGACAGAGTCACTCGTCTTTCTATTGTTCAGCTTGGTGAAACCTGTGGCTTCAGTGAATGTTTTACAGTGATTATAGAGATTGTAAGAGGGTCTGTCTTTTCGTGTAGGTCACCTGACTGCAAGAAGTGACGTATACAGCTTTGGGGTAGTTCTACTGGAACTGTTGACGGGAAGGAAGTCAGTTGACAAGACTAGACCGAGCAAGGAGCAGAGCTTGGTGGATTGGGCTCGTCCAAAGTTGAATGATAAGAGAAAGCTGCTTCAAATAATTGATCCAAGACTGGAGAGCCAATATTCAGTAAGGGCAGCACAGAAAGCTTGCAGCTTGGCATATTATTGCCTGAGCCAGAACCCGAAGGCAAGACCCTTGATGAGCGATGTGGTGGAGACTCTCGAACCCCTACAGTGCAGCAATGATGGGACCAATGAATTGTCATCGTCATCCTTAAAGGGAAGCAGCCTGACAATTGGTGGTGCCCATAGTGCATTTGGGATGGCTGATTCTCATCGAACACGCCGTAGATATGCCAACAACTTTGGTCCTGGTTCCAGTTGTCGGTCTCCTAGCCCAAATTGTGCACCAGGAGGCCCTGCTACTTGCAGGGTCAGGTGAGCCATTTGTGTCCTGTATGTATGTACGTCTCTCATCTCTCTCGTGTGCCTTTCTCCTACCCAAACCCTCCAACTAAGCGTTAAAAGGAAAGTTATAAACTAGTGGCATTTCATCTCAATTTTGTTTGTGTAGCTCTGTACATTCCATCAATTCAATCATCGTTATCATGACACAGGTACTGGCCTGATCTGAGCCATCGCTCTAATCGCGACTTTTTTTAGTAGTAGAGCAGTGTTTGGTGCATGTCTTCCTTGAACAACTGTTGTAGCTTAGCAATTTTTTCAAAAAATTCCTAAACCTTAACCTAGGGGTGGCAACCCCGCATGTGGGTATTACCCAAATCCAAATGATTATGGGATTGTGGGATTATGGGTGATATGGGTATGGCTGTTAATGAGGCGAGCTATTCGTGAGTCGCTTGGTCTTGATCTCGATAAAAGCTCGTTTGATTGAAAAAAAACTTGGCTCGTTAATAAACGAGTCGAGATTGAGCTCTACCTTATTCGGCTCGTGAAGCTCGTGAACTAGCTCGATTAGGTGGCTCGTTAATACAACTCATGAACTGTCTCGTTTTGAGCTTATGAAATGTCCCAACATTGTGACTGGAGAGCCAACTCAACTACAACTTATGAGAAAATCAATCTATATTTTATGAGTTGGTTTGTTAATGATGCATAAAATTATTAAATTGTATATATCACCTCATATGGTGTTTAATACATTGAGTATATGTAAGCAAATATGTCTCATATATGACATAACATTAGGTAATCATATGTATCACATATGACATAAATATTAGGGTATTTATATTATAAATTATCTTAGAGTTGAGCTCGAGCCGAACTTTCGATCTTAATGATGTTTCAAGATTTAATAAATGAGCTGGATCGTTTTCGACTCGACTCGGCTCGTTTATAGTATTTAATTAACTCGGTATGAGTCTGACCCAAACCAAAGACTACCCATACCTAGGGCTGTTAATGAGCTGAGCCGGACCGAGCTTTGCCTTGTTAATGTTCGGCTTGTTTATAGAGTTAATTAAATACTAGTTTTTAGGCCCGCGCTTCGCTGCGATAAGAAACTAATTATATTTCTTAATCATCATAAAATACATACATCATATATTTGTTTAAGTGATGTATTAAAAATAAATATCCCTTCATATACAATTTCTTATTATTAAACTATTATGTAGAAGACTAACTTACCTTACATAATATTTGTGTATTTCAAATTGATGAGATGATGAAAATTTTAGTTAATAGTAAATGAATTTTCATTCAAACTTATATTATCGAATCAATACGGAATAGTTACGCAATACGTTTTGTTTAATTGGTACATATGAAATGAGTACCTATCTATAAGGTTTAGATAATGTATTTGCAATTACGTAAATGTTATAGTGTAGTGCTACACATATCTTTCGTACTGGTTGATCTAATAATAAGATCAAGTTAACAAAAATATTGCAATTGATTAAAATGTTATGTCAAAGCCACTCACCATGCAAAACCTTAGTGTAGTGCAAATAATGAGTTTATGGTAAATTTGGGAGCTTTGTATAATATATTTCGTACTATGTAGTCTAATGATGAAGAGTTTAAGATGAAAATGAGAGTTTTTTATAATATATTTGTAATTACGTTATTGTTATAAAAAAGTGTGACAGAAATCTTTCGTACTGTGTGGTCTAATAATAAATAATTTATGATCTAATGATAAAATCACGTTAGGAAAATATAATATTTGATTAAACTATGTAACAAACCTAACCATAGAAAACCTTAATATAATACAAGCATTGATGAGTCCATTAGTAACCTCTCGCTGTACGTCGTTCCCGTGACAAACTAAACCAAAAAAGCTCTGCCTTCTCTCTTGCTTCTCTCTCATCTGGTGCTTTTGATTTGTCTTTCATCTTTCTTTTTCTTTTGTCCTGGCTGGTAGCCAGATGACTTGATTGCCTCCTCTGTGAGAAGTTTTCTTCCTTCCTCTTGAATGCGAATCTGGAGAAGATCTTTTTGTACTTAAGAATCGTGTATGGAATCAGAAATGCTCCACCTACTGCAACAAAGGAAATTAATTCTTCCTTCTTACATTGTCCATCAAACCGAAAAGAAGAATGACTACACAAAGTTCAGAGGAATAAATACACCAAGGGCAGAGATAAGTCTTCTCAAGCCACCATTAATACGAAGAAAAAGAAGCTTGGAGCCCCTCAAACCAGCTGACAAATTCAAGAACTGTAAAGCTCCTAGAACAGCCATTACACCTCGTCCAATCAAGCCAACAACCGAAGTAAATGAAGCAGTGAAAGGAGGTGGAAATGCTGCGAGTCCTATAAGAGCCAACACATTAACTCAGTGCAAAGAAGCCATTTCCCATAGTTCTCAAACATCCCGTGAGCAAACTTATTCTGCAAAAAAGACACCAAGCATGAGTATGAATGATCTCATCAACCAGGCCGAGGAATGGGATCTAGAGATGGTTCTGGATGAAGAGAGGGTTAAAAACCGGTTTTCTTTGGTTGTTAAGATCTTTTCGGAGCGTACTGTGAGCCTGAGGGCTATGAGAGGAATGATTCGATCAGCTTGGGTGGACAACTTCAAGCCAAAACTCCAAGAGATGCCGATTATCCAGCCTGTTGTTGAGAATATCTTCACATTGGATTTTGAGAAAAGAGAGGAGATGGAGGCTATATGGAAGGAGCGCCCTTGCCCTATTTCTGGCACCCTGATGCAGCTGAAGAGGTTGTCTGGTCTCGAAAATGCTCAAAATATCAGCTTCAAGATGGTTGAGTTCTGGGTGCAAATCCATAACCTTCCCGAGACCTACAGAACGGAGAATAACATTGCTATGGTCAGCAGAATGTTCCATAAAGTGATTGAGATCGATCAAGCAGCCTTTCAAGCACAAATCTACAGAAAGTTTGTAAGGGTTTTTGTCGAAATCGATACATCCAAGCCAATCCCAGATGGGTTTTACATTCGACATTAGCAGAAAAGGATTTGGATCGAGTATAAGTATGAGAAGCTCTTTTCACTTTGCTATTTCTGTGGAGGAATCGAGCATACCAGATCAGAGTGCGGGTTGAGAAGGAAGAACGAAGAAGAAGGGTTGCCGCTCCCTTCGATACAGAGATGGGGACCTTGGACCAGAGCTAGCTCCCCACTGTTCTCGCCAAGAACGAGTCAACAACAAGAAGGTGAGGCGGATCTGAATAGAGCTGCGACGCCAACATCGAACTCGCCGGGAGGATTCCAGATCCAGTCACCGCCGACCACCGGAATGGGTACCACCCGAAGTCTCAATCAGATGGCCCCACCTTCCTCGATGATAACGCCTGCTGCAAATCAGTCGCCACGTTCGAGTTTTGCTCAGAACTTTTCATTCTCACCCACAACGGATCTATTCCCAACTCCCAACTCTTTCTCACCCTCTCCCCAAAGATACTCCGAGTTTGGTCAGAACCTTGGAGTTATATCATCCCCATCTCAAGGGGTCCAAGATAGGGTCAGTAACCACTGGTTACTGACCCATCAGTAACAACACGCGGGCCGTCGATTTGGGGAGGGAGAAATCGTGTGGATGGGCTGGACGCTGGGTGGGGAGGGGCATTTTTGTCCGTTTTCGTATTTTTAATTTTTTATTACTTCCGCATTTCAATGGCTGGCTTTTCAATAAAAGGGAGAGAATCTTCCTTCTCTGCAACTCAACTTTCTTCCTTCTCTCTTCCTTTTTTCAATCTCTTCCATAACCTTTCTCTTTCTCTATTCCTTCTCTCTTACTTTTTTTTCTCACAATCTCCTTTTCAAATCTAAATCTGCTCTCTTCCTTCTTCATTTTTTTTCTCTAGCATAAAAATTGTAGCCACTCTCTTTCATTACATTTCTTCTCTTCATCAACTCGTTGGACTCAATTCCGATCTTTCTCATTTTTTTGGCATTTTGGTGTTCTTGATTGAGGAAGAGGAAATGAGAGGCATCAGAAGACGATTTTTTTCTCTCCCTCCTTCTGTTTTTTTCCTTTTAGATAATATATATTGATATTATGACTCTATACCATATGGTATTGGGTGGTAACGAAATATATATTGACATTACCATACTATACCCTATGGTAATTTATGGTATTGCGTGGTAACGAAATATATATTGATATTACCACTCTATACCATATGGTATTGTGTGATATTACCACACTATACCATATGGTATTGTGTGGTAACGAAATATATATTGATATTACCACTCTATACCATATGGTATTGTGTGATATTACCACACTATACCATATGGTATTGTGTGGTAACGAAATATATATCGATATTACCACACTATACCCTATGGTATTGGGTGGTAACGAAATATATATTGATATTACCACACTATACCATATGGTATTGGGTGGTAACGAAATATATATTGATATTACCACACTATACCATATGGTATTGGGTGGTAACGAAATATATATTGATATTACCACTCTATACCATATGGTATTATGTGAATTGTGTGATATTACCACACTATACCATATGGTATTGGGTGGTAACGAAATATATATTGATATTACCACTCTATACCATATGGTATTATGTGAATTGTGTGATATTACCACACTATACCATATGGTATTGGGTGGTAACAAAATATATATTGATATTACCACACTATACCATATGGTATTGGGTGGTAACGAATTATATATTCATGTGGCAAATATTACCATACCACATGGTATGCTATTGTTTAATACCAATCAATACCATATGGTACAGTCAATACCATATGGTATGACTGGTAATAACTGACAAATTTTTTTGTGTCCAAAAAATATCAAAGTGGATATCATTTTGAAGAGCACAATTAATCTGATCTAACTGTGCAAAAAAAAATTAAATTTCGACTTAAAACGAGTGAGAAATCGTCCGTCAAAGATTAAGGGAAGGAAAATTAAATGTTTTGCCAGGAGAGAGAAGGAGGGGCTGATAGGCTCCGGTCAAAAGTGAGCAACAATAATAAATAGGAGTAAGTGCAATTTTACCGTACTACCCTTTTCACATTTAATTTAAATAAAAAAGTGACTGACACGTGGGGACCAGGGAAGGGGTTACTGATGGGTTACTGACCCATCAGCTACTGACAAGATCCGGACCCATCTCAAGGTACCAACATGTCAAGGAATCTTTTCGGTTTTCCTTCTGCTGCCCTATTGCCTAACTCCATCCCTCAAATACCTAGCTACCAGGACCCACTACCAGGCTTTATTACTTCTAACCAAAGCCCATTACCATATCAAGCCCATGCAAACTACATATTCAACCAAAACTACTTCCACTCCAGCCCAAGCGGTGCCCAGCCACCAAATAGAGTCTCAGCTCGTGGCCAAAGCTCCAAAAATCGCACAAGCAGCCCAAGCTTTCAAAAAAAGAAAAGAAAGACGAATAGCCAACACTTCGAAGGAGAAAGAAAACAGGGGAGTGAGCTAATTGGCGCCGAGGAGGATAAAACAGGGGATGGTCAAGACAACAGAGATGATGAAATTCCGCCAGGCTTTGAGCCTAATCTTGCTGTGGTTATGGTGGCCGATTCCAAGCCACCTGAGGCGCCATGAATGCATTAGTTTGGAACTGTAGGGGGTTCGGATAACCCCCCACAGTTCGCCAACTTCGGAAGATGGTAAAAAGTTTAAACCATCTTTCGTGTTTCTGTCCGAGACCAAGAAGAAAAGGTCTTACATGGAAACTAAGAGAAAGAGTATGAGATTTGCTGGAAACTCCTATGTTTGGCCAATTGATCGAGCAGTTGGCCTTGCTCTGTGGTGGGTTGAGGGTATTTCCTGCAAAATTCTGGATAGTGATCAATTTTTTATTGATGTTTTAGTAGAGGGGGATGATGGTTTTTACATTACTTTTGTTCATGCTCCCTCTTATCCGAATCGGTGTAGGGACTTTTGGGATCAGATTAGTAGCCTTCGCAGTAGCTTCAATGATAAGTGGGTTGTCACAGGAGATATGAATGCGATTTTGTTCCCGGAGGAAAAATTGGGTGGAGGCCCTCCTAGGAACGAATCTGTAATCCCTTTTAAGAATTTTGTTGATGACAATGCTTTAATGGACCTTGGTTTTAAAGGTTACCCCTTTACTTGGAAGAATAACCGTGAGGGCCAGCGAAGAGTGGAGGAGAGGCTTGATAGAGCTTTATGCTCTGCATCATGGAGATCAAAGTTCAGAAACGCCCTTGTCTTCCACGAATTACCTATCGAGTCGGATCATTGGCCATTAAGACTGGAGATGAATGGGACTAAAGTAAGATCAAATCCTCCATTCCGTTTTGACTCAAGATGGCTTAATCAAGAAGAGTGTCATAATATAGTGAATCGTAACTGGGATAATGGAGGGATGTGTCATGATAGACTGTTGAATTGTGAGAAGGAATTAAAAGAATGGGCCAGAGAAGTTTACTAGGACCAGAACAAGAGAGCTGCAGATATTCAGGCAAGATTAGAGGAAATTCTCATAATGGATAGGTCAGTTGATATTGTTCAAGAAGAGAAAAGTTTGATGACAGAACTTGATGCCATTTGGAAAGATGAAGAACTGTTCTGGTATCAACAATCTGGAATAAATTGGCTACAGGAAGGGGACCAAAACACGAGTTTTTTCCACTCGTCGGCGACTCATAGAAAGCAGAGAAATAAGATTGTTGAGCTTAAGGATGATAATGGGAACATCTTTTCTCACCCTGAGGAACTTGCTTCTCATGTCACCAATTATTACAAATCTCTGTTTACTCGGGTTGATAGGGTTATTGATACTGATATTCTACAAGGCTTCCCAAAAGTTGTTTCAGAGGAAATGAATAGGGAATTATGTGAGATTCCATCTTATGAGGAGATCAAAGTAGCAGTCTTTGATCTTGGACCAACGAAATCACTAGGGCCGGATGGCTTTGCAGGCATGTTTTTTAGACGCTTCTGGCCTAAGATAGGAACTAAATTTTGTCAGGAAGTTCAAGACTTCTTTCATTCTTCTAGCATGCCTCAAAGCTGGAACAGTACTCATATTGCCCTTATTCCCAAGACTCAAGCTCCTGAAATGGTAAGCCAATTTCGACCGATTAGCTGTTGTAACTTCAAATACAAGGTCATATCCAAAATCATGTCAACTCGTTTGAAGAAGTGGATACCTGGGTTGGTCTCGGAGATGCAAGCTGCCTTTACCAGTGGTAGGCTTATTCAGGACAACATCATCATCGTCCATGAGATGCTACACAATTTTAAGAACCGAAGACATGGGGATTGGGACATGGTTAAACTGGATATGCGTAAAGCATACGACTTAGTCGATTGTGACTGCCTTGATTCAATTCTACAAGCCTATGGGTTCTCTGATATTTGGAGAGGGTGGATAAATGAGTGTATACGGACTGTGAACTTCTCTATACTCTTGAATGGAAGCCCCACAGAATGTTTTCATCCTACGAGAGGAATCCGCCAAGGGGATCCAATATCACCGATGACTCGATATTTGCACATGTTTTCCCCTTTATTTCTTGATCGTTTAAGCTTTCATTATTGCTTCTTTGGCCTATTTTACGCTAGGTTGTGTTCCTTTGTTACATTTCAGATCCTAGCACATAAAGTGAAGCGTATGCACAAGTTTCAAGTCAATCAGATATCAATTGGCGATTAGGGAGAAGAAACTCGGGCATGACCTGAAGAAGAATGGATTTCTACCTCACTTTATGGACAAATAATCATGCAATCTTGTCATGAAAAGAAAGAGGACGAGACTACGAGCGTCTGGGATTAAACGGCGACTGATTCGGAGTCCGGACGAGGGAGAAAAGAAGCATTGAATATAGGGGAACAGGTTCGGCAGTAAAAACACGGGCGCGCCTAAATCAAAACACGGTCGTGCCCATATTTAGGCACGACCGTGTTTTGGCCAACGCGCGCGGGCGTGTTCTTAACACGGGGCAAAACACGGGCGGGCAAAAGCAAAACATGGCCGTGTCCTCGACGGTGTTTTGCCCAGAATCGGGTTTTTTTAGGCAGATTGAAGCCAAAGGAAAGAGAGAGCTGGGTTTTGGATCCCAACTACCCAAGGGACGAACCAAAGAGAGAGAGGGCGATTTGAGGGCATTCTTGGAGTGGAATCAGTGGATTTCTTTGCCTTGGAAGCTCGAGGAACAAGCCCGGACTTGAAGACTGATCATTTGAAGATTCTTACTGCTGTCTCTCTCTTCTCTATGGAGTAACTTCCCTTCACTTAGGTTTTGAGGAACCCTAGCTATGTTTGTTTGATTGGATGATTGTACGAGTACTCTGACTTGATAACCTTGAGTTCATATTCAATCTATGCATGTTTTGATGATTCAATTCTGCTTTAGTCGAGATTATTGATTCTGCTTTGATCCTATGAGAGCGAATACCTGATTAGTTTAATAGAGCACCATAGATTGATAGTATTGGATCGATTGCTTTAGTCGAGGGTTGATTCAATGCTTTGTATCGATTGAGAACCTCTTTCGATAGAGGGAGTCTAGTTCAGAATGCCTTGATCGGTTGTTCTAGAGAAGGATACGTCCCTCTAGGCAATTGACTCAAGAGGGCCTTGTTCCTTTAGTCGAGACTCAAGGTCTAGTTAAGGATTCTCCGCATTGTGAATGAAAGTGAAACAGGTTAGAGATCATCAATCATTAATCTGGCTAGAGTAGTTTTAGTTCTTTCATCTTAATCTGGTTTGCTAGATAATGAAGTGAAGCTGAGTAATAGTAACTCTAGAGACCCGTGGATTCGATATTTATTACTTGAGCCACTATACTGCAATCCCTTTCATTGGTTACACTTGGCCTTTGTTAGGAGTTGTGTCGTAGCGAGTCAAGTTTTTGGTGACATGGTTTCAACTTCAAACAAGATTTGACAAAGCACACCTGTTAAACGATGATAGAACAGAGGGAGTAAAGACCGGGAAGAATTATCATCCATGGATCATCGCCGAAACGCATTTCCGCTGCTTGCCTCCGACCTTCCCTGCGAGTAATAAGCTCGGCGGCGTACACTCTCTTCAATGGTAGTGCTTCCACCCTTCTCCGCACCATAAACACTCTTCTGAGCGACATCCAAGAAGTTCTTCACGCTGTGAGATTGCTTGGCCCGAGTATCTTCCTTTACGTCCTCCTCCTCGGCTTTCTTCAGACGCTTCCACCTCTGTGCTTCGTGGATCTCAGCGTCCATCTGCATCTCCCGTAGCTTCGCTGCTCTTTCTTCTTCTGACAGCTTCGGAGCTCGGTTCCTCCACTTGTTCCGATAAGAATCATGGTCCACTCTTTCTCTTTGAACAGGCCGATCATCAGAATACCTCTTATTATCACTCTTTGGCCGCTCGTAGTCTTGTTCTTCATGCTGGTTTCTGTCAGAGAACCGACCAGGAGTAGAATGATTCCTGTCTCTCAGACCCCTAGAGCTATCATTCCTACTTCTCCAGCTTTCTCTTCCATTAGATTCACCGTCTAAGGCCGGATCCTCATGTTTCTTTGAGCTCTTGTGTTTATTAGAATTCCTCTTCCTAACTCGGTCTGTCTCATCATCTTCATCTTCTGAATCCGGTTTTTGCTGAGATGATGAACGTCTGCTGTGCTTTCCATCACCATGACGGTGTTTCTTCCCGAGTTCCTTTTTGTCACGACACTTCTCGTTCTCTCCATCTGCTTGAACCTGTTTCATTGCAAATTAAAGTGTTACCTTTTGTTCTCTATATATAAGTTGATTTGATCCAGATAAGAGGGGAAGGAGCAAAGTACAAAATACCGATTTGCGAATGAGAGCCATTTGGACAGGGTTGTTCTTGATGCGGGCGAGAGCTTCTTGCTCACCCTGGCGAATCATAAGCAACGGATCAGAATGAAGTTTTCTCCAGGCGTCATTGGCGGAATGAGGCTTGTCCTCAAACAAAGCTCCTGGTGCAGCAGCAGCTGAAGAAGACGAAGGAGGAACAACTCCCTCCGAAGTCTTGCTGCCGCCAGGAAGAGCTTCTTCGAGTTCCTTGAATGCTACTCCGGCGACAGAAGAAGCACTGGCGCTTACTTTCCCCACGGACAGTCCTGAATCGTACAGGAATTCCAATCGCTCTTGCCTCCTGCCAACAACCAAAACAGGTTTGAATCAGCAAAGACTTCATAATTGGTAAACGGAAACCCTAACCCTAGAAGAACTTGCGGAATGATTGAAGGCATGAAGGTTTGCCAGCAATCTAACTTCTTCTGCTCGGCATTGTGTTTCTGCTCTGCTTTCCAGACGTTCTCTATGTTCCTTAAGCTGCCGGTATGCCATCCCTTCTTGTTCAAGAACTTCAGCTCCATATTTGCTCCAACCTTCGCCCTCATGCGAAACCCTCAAGTCGGCGAATGATTTGATCGGATTCGACGCGATGCTTATCTGTTTCTGGATCTCGTTAATTGGTTCTCCAATCGAGGTGGCGAATTTTCTGTTTTCTTCTCATGTTTCCTTTCCATTTATATATTTTCATTTTTATTATCTAAATATTTCGAAATACCAAGTATTAATAAATTGGGCGGGATAAGGGCCCAATTTATTCATTTCTTACTCAATAAATTGGGCCGTATTTAGACGGACAAGGCATATTATTCCATCAATACAAGGGCCCATTTACAATCAATCAATATATCGTAAAAAATCAAAATATCACGAAAATATCACGATATACCGTCATCTCATGATATCTCGTCAATTTCTCGGATTACGGTTTGGTTTTTCAGAATTTGAAATGTTTCGAGTTTCGAAGTTTCACTCGTCTGTCTCGCAATTCGTTTCGTCATCTCGCAGTTTTCAATAAATATCGCGATATAGTATCTCATTGGGCCGATGGCAAATGAGGGAAAGGGAGGTTGCGTTGGAATCGTGTGACCGAGAGGAACGCCATAGAGTTGGAATTTGCAAGAAAGAGGTCTCTAAAATATTTTCATTTTTTCACCAAATAGGCCTATGGGCTCACGAAAAGTTCGGTTAAAAGTGCATTATCTCATTGAATCGATGACCAATGAGGGGAAGGGAGGTTGCGTTGGAATCGTGTGACCGAGAGGAACGCCATAGAGTTGGAATTTGCAAGAAAAAGGTCTCTAAAATGTTTTCATTTTTTTCACCAAATAGCCCTGTGGGCTCACGAAAAGTTCGGTTAAAAGTGCATTATCTCATTGGTCCGATGGCAAAGGAGGGGAAGGGAGGTTGCGTTGGAATCGTGTGACCGAGAGGAACGCCATAGAATTGGAATTTTCAAGAAAAAGGTCTCTTAAATATTTTCATTTTTTCAGCATATAGGCCTATGAGCTCACGAAAAGTTCAGTTAAAAGTGCATTATCTCTTTGAACCGATGACCAATGAAAGGAAGGGAGGTTGCGTTGGAATCGTGTGACCGAGAGGAACGCCATAGAGTTGGAATTTGCAAGAAAAAGGTCTCTAAAATGTTTTCATTTTTTTCACCAAATAGCCCTGTGGGCTCACGAAATGTTCGGTTAAAAGTGCATTATCTCATTGAACCGATGGCCAATGAGGGGAAGGGAGGTTGCGTTGGAATCGTTTGACCGAGAGGAACGCCATAGAGTTGGAATTTGCAAGAAAAAATGTTTCTAAAGAAATTTCATTTTTCACCAAATAGGCTTGTGGGCTCGACGAAAAGTTCTGTTTAAAGTGAAATATCTCATTGCACCAATGGTCAATGAGTGGAAGGAAGGTTGCGTTGAAATCATTTGACCGAGAAGAACGCCATAGAGTTGGATTTTGCATGAAAAAAGGTCTCTAAAAAATTTCATTTTTTCACCAAATAGGCTTGTGGGCTCACGAAAAGTTCGGTTTAAAGTGAAATATCTCATTGCACCGATGGCCAATGAGGGGAAGGGAGGTTGCGTTGGAATCGTTTGACCGTGAGGAACGCCATAGAGTTGGAATTTGCAAGAAAAAAGGTCTCTAAAGAAATTTCTTTTTTTCACCAAATAGGCTTGTGGGCTTACGAAAAGTTCGGTTTAAATTGAAATATTTAATTGCACCGATGGTCAATGAGTGGAAGGGAAGTTGCGTTGGAATCGTATGACCAAGAAGAACGCCATAGAGTTGGAATTTTCAAGAAAAAAGGTTTCTAAAAAATTTCATTTTTCACAAAATAGGCTTGTGGGCTCACGAAAAGTTCGGTTTAAAGTGAAATATCTCATTGCACCAATGGTCAATGAGTGGAAGGAAGGTTGCGTTGGAATCATATGATCGAGAAGAACGCCATAGAGTTGGAATTTGCAAGAAAAAAGGTCTCTAAAGAAATTTCATTTTTTCACCAAATAGGCTTGTGGGCTCACGAAAAGTTCGGTTTAAAGTGAAATATCTCATTGCACCGATGGCCAATGAGGGGAAGGGAGGTTGCGTTGGAATCGTTTGACCGTGAGGAACGCCATAGAGTTGGAATTTGCAAGAAAAAATGTCTCTAAAGAAATTTCATTTTTTCACCAAAAAGGCTTGTGTGGGCTTACGAAAAGTTCGGTTTAAATTGAAATATTTAATTGCACCGATGGTCAATGAGTGGAAGGGAAGTTGCGTTGGAATCGTATGACCAAGAAGAACGCCATAGATTTGGAATTTGCAAGAAAAAGGTTTCTAAAGAAATTTCATTTTTCACCAAATGGGCTTGTGGGCTCACGAAAAAGTTCGGTTTAAAGTGAAATATCTCATTGCCCCAATGGTCAATGAGTGGAAGGAAGGTTGCGTTGGAATCATATGACCGAGAAGAAAGCCATAGAGTTGGAATTTGCAAGAAAAAAGGTCTCTAAAGAAATTTCATTTTTTCACCAAATAGGCTTGTGGGCTCACGAAAAGTTCGGTTTAAAGTGAAATATCTCATTGCACCGATGGCCAATGAGGGGAAGGGAGGTTGAGTTGGAATCGTTTGACCGTGAGGAAAGCCATAGAGTTGGAATTTGCAAGATAAAAGGTCTCTAAAGAAATTTCATTTTTTCACCAAATAGGCTTGTGAGCTTACGAAAAGTTCGGTTTAAATTGAAATATTTAATTGCACCGATGGTCAATGAGTGGAAGGGAAGTTGCGTTGGAATCGTATGACCAAGAAGAACACCATAGAGTTGGAATTTGCATGAAAAAAGGTTTCTAAAGAAATTTCATTTTTCACCAAATAGGCTTGTGGGCTCACGAAAAGTTCGGTTTAAAGTGAAATATCTCATTGCACCAATGGTCAGTGAGTGGAAGGAAGGTTGCGTTGGAATCATATGACCAAGAAGAACGCCATAGAGTTGGAATTTGCAAAAAAAAGGTCTCTAAAGAAATTTCATTTTTTCACCAAATTGGCTTGTGGGCTCACGAAAAGTTCGGTTTAAAGTGCAATTTCTCATTGCACCGATGGCCAATGAGGGGAAGGGAGGTTGCGTTGGAATCGTTTGACCGTGAGGAACGCCATAGAGTTGGAATTTTCAAGAAAAAAGGTCTCTAAAGAAATTTCATTTTTTCATCAAATAGGCTTGTGGGCTTACGAAAAGTTCGATTTAAATTGAAATATTTAATTGCACCGATGGTCAATTAGTGGAAGGAAAGGTACGTTGGAATCCTATGACCAAGAATAACGCCATAGAGTTGGAATTTGCAAGAAAAAAGGTCTCTAAAGAAATTTCATTTTTTCACCAAATAGGCTTGTGGGGTCACGAAAAGTTCGGTTTAAAGTGAAATATCTCATTGCACCGATGGCCAATGAGGGGAAGGGAGGTTGCGTTGGAATCGTTTGACCGTGAGGAACGCCATAGAGTTGGAATTTGCAAGAAAAAAGGTCTCTAAAGAAATTTCATTTTTTCACCAAAAAGGCTTGTGTGGGCTTACGAAAAGTTCGGTTTAAATTGAAATATTTAATTGCACTGATAGTCAATGAGTGGAAGGGAAGTTGCGTTGGAATTGTATGACCAAGAAGAACGCCATAGATTTGGAATTTGCAAGAAAAAGGTTTCTAAAGAAATTTCATTTTTCACCAAATAGGCTTGTGGGCTCACGAAAAGTTCGGTTTAAAGTGAAATATCTCATTGCACCAATGGTCAATGAGTGGAAGGAAGGTTGCGTTGGAATCATATGACCGAGAAGAAAGCCATAGAGTTGGAATTTGCAAGAAAAAAGGTCTCTAAAGAAATTTCATTTTTTCACCAAATTGGCTTGTGGGCTCACGAAAAGTTCGGTTTAAAGTGAAATATCTCATTGCACCGATGGCCAATGAGGGGAAGGGAGGTTGAGTTGGAATCGTTTGACCGTGAGGAACGCCATAGAGTTGGAATTTGCAAGATAAAAGGTCTCTAAAGAAATTTCATTTTTTCACAAAATAGGCTTGTGAGCTTACGAAAAGTTCGGTTTAAATTGAAATATTTAATTGCACCGATGGTCAATGAGTGGAAGGGAAGTTGCGTTGGAATCGTATGACCAAGAAGAACACCATAGAGTTGGAATTTGCAAGAAAAAAGGTTTCTAAAGAAATTTCATTTTTCACCAAATAGGCTTGTGGGCTCACGAAAAGTTCGGTTTAAAGTGAAATATCTCATTGCACCAATGGTCAGTGAGTGGAAGGAAGGTTGCGTTGGAATCATATGACCAAGAAGAACGCCATAGAGTTGGAATTTGCAAGAAAAAAGGTCTCTAAAGAAATTTCATTTTTTCACCAAATAGGCTTGTGGGCTCACGAAAAGTTCGATTTAAAGAGCAATTTCTCATTGCACCAATGGCCAATGAGGGGAAGGGAGGTTGCGTTGGAATCGTTTGACCGTGAGGAACGCCATAGAGTTGGAATTTGCAAGAAAAAAGGTCTCTAAAGAAATTTCATTTTTTCACCAAATAGGCTTGTGGGCTTACGAAAAGTTCGGTTTAAATTGAAATATTTAATTGCACCGATGGTCAATTAGTGGAAGGAAAGGTACGTTGGAATCCTATGACCAAGAATAACGCCATAGAGTTGGAATTTGCAAGAAAAAAGGTTTCTAAAGAAATTTCATTTTTCATCAAGTAGGCTTGTGGGCTCACGAAAAGTTCGGTTTAAAGTGAAATATCTTATTGCACCAATGGTCAATGAGTGGAAGGAAGGTTGCGTTGGAATCATATGACCGAGAAGAACGCCATAGAGTTGGAATTTGCAAGAAAAAAGGTCTCTAAAGAAATTTCATTTTTTAACCAAATAGGCTTGTGGGCTCACGAAAAGTTCGGTTTAAAGTGCAATTTCTCATTGCACCGATGGCCAATGAGGGGAAGGGAGGTTGCGTTGGAATCGTTTGACCGTGAGAAACGCCATAGAGTTGGAATTTGCAAGAAAAAAGGTCTCTAAAGAAATTTCATTTTTTCACCAAAT